ACCTACGCGTAGAATCTTTCGTCTCCTGGAAGACCACTCACCATACAAACTAATCGGCTTCGTTAAGAAGCTGGGTTTATTTGTCCGAGTGTGAATAGGTGTGAGCCACAATAAACCCTTCCGGGTTGCGGTGGAGGGTCGAATAGACCCACTCACTTCAGACCTACCTACCTACCTTATAACACTTTTCAAGCCATTGCTCCGCTTGAACGGTATTTTTTCTCATCATGAAGCAGCGTAAAAAAAATGAAAACACGAAATTGTTTTTGATCGATTGTTTTGAAAAAAAAAACAGAAGTAGTGTCACTGTTAGTACAATAACTCACAAACTTATGAGTAGAATATTATGAAATTCCAACAGCCTTCTTTTGAAAGTTAGTACTAACTGAAAAAGCGGTGAATGCAATAAGACTAGCGCCATCTCCATGTTAGGCCCCAGACTTTTCAGATGTCTTGGAAATTATTTTAGAAATTTCTGGAGACAAATATGAATTCATTTCATTTCATTCTATACGATGGGAGAAACGTCTTAGAATGTGTTAGACAGGAAGCATGTCTCGGGTTTGTGTGAAAGAGGATGTATATTTCTCTCGACGTCACTAATAAAATATTAATGAATGCCCGAGAATTGAAGGCACTTACACCCACTGTGAATAACAACTTTTTTATTATTTCATTACATCACTACATAAGTAATGTAATACAATTTGAATAACAGTTTCCCATAATGATTTGTGTTTTTGGTTACTTTTGTCAAATTTTGCATGAGTTGTAAGAACGAAGGGTCATCTTTCCAGGAAATTTAGATTACTTTTAATGACCAGTGCCATGAAAGTTATTAGTGAAGTGTTGAGTCTGAATTACCGTCTACCTGCTCAAGTACCTGTTTTTGTTGGTGTTTTTCTAAACTTTCCAAAATTATTCATTTATTCAAGTTGTTTTTGAATACATATAAAAATAAATATTTTACACAGTTTGTCTTCAATCGAGGACCGCCTGCCCGGTATTTATGATGGCCTACAGGTTGAAACAGCTGTCTACCGGTGGCTCTTATATTGAAATCAAATTGTGAATGACCGAAAAGTACTAATCTATTTATCTTTTAATTTTCATGGAATCCTTTTTCAGCAGTTTGACTGCATTACCCTTTCTCGATTTTATATCATTTCTAGAAACATGTGGATTCGTTTTTCGATGGCATTCCAGGATAGCTTCCCAAATATTTATTCATTTATTATTATTCTTGTGTAGTGTAGTGTAGTGATAGCTTCTTGAAAATGACTTTGAAGCCATTTTCAAGAAGCTATCACTACACTGAGGTCTCAATCTGCCTACTCCTCAGGTTGTGACACGCCGCAAAGGTTTTATGACTTGACACCGGGGCCTCAATCTGCTCACCCCTCAGGTCTCGTCGCTGGTTTCTGCTACGGTCTAAAGCTGCGTTCCCACGGGGCAAAAATACGAAATCGTGCCACTCTTTCGTACTCACTGTCTTGGCTCACGACTGGAGTAGGGATAGGCAGCGAACCAGCTGAGTGTCGTGGACAGTTCACACACAGTCACATTCACGATTCAGTTTTCCTTGCGAAGCCGACCGCGATGAACGAGCTCCTAGTTGAAAGTTGTGCAGTTTTGTGTTCAACCTTCAGTGCTATTTTAGGTGAGAGATTAAAGTTACATGGACAGATAAGAAAACGGAAGAAAAGGCGTTATTGGGTGAGGAAGTGGATACTGAAAAGAAGTTCGGAGGTTCAAAATTTGGTTGACCACGAGCTAAGGAGTAATCACCATGAAGATTTTAAAAACTTGTTACGAATGTCTGAAGAACAGTTTGATTATCTCCTGGAACGAGTAACTAAACATATTTTAAAATCAGACACCAACATGAGGCAAGCTCTGAGTCCTAAAATAAAACTCCAAGTTACGCTCCGCTACTTAGCTACTGGGGACTCTTTCAAAAGTTTGGAATATTTGTTTCGTGTACCAAAAAATACAATAAGCAAATTTATACCAGAAACATGC